TGCAGGGATGCCGCGCGTTTGCAGCTGTGCTGATTGCCGCTGAAGGATGAAACCATCCCAGCCCTGAGCACACGAATTGTCTCAAACCATTGATCCGGTGGCCGAAATCTACGGACCTACGGTTGTAATAACCCTGAAAAACCGGCCCTCGGCTCTGACACAAAAACCGAACGTGTTACAGTAGGAGGGCCTCCTGATTCAGATGAATTCCTTAACAACAAAAACCTCAACATTCGAACACCTCCCAGCATGAGACCTCCTGACGAAAAGAAGTGCAACCCTGGCCTCGAACCCGTCCAAAAAACGACGAACAAAAAAACGCACAACCCCAGCCTCAGACCTTCTCAGATCTCAAAAGCCCGCTCTCAGACCTCCTGAACGAACTCTGCAATAAGCTCGTTGTTGAAGGCTAGAGGATAGGGATTGCGGATCAGCAACTTGCTATGAGGCAGTTGAAATCTTGAACATGATCTGCACGGAGCAGGGCTTCGCAAAGCATTTCATGCAAATTCATGTTTCCGCGACCGCTTTCCCACCTTGTTTGCACCTGAATCCAGAAGGTCGATGAGCATTTCGGCATTGCCATCCTTCGCAGCTTGGATCACGTGCGCATCACCTGGGCGAAAGTCACGCCGATACAGACCAAGCTCACGACACTTCAGGACTGTGGGTGCAAGGGCGATGAGCTCACTCGAGCCTTAGAGCGCTGGGACCCTCACCCGCCCGATTGATCGCTACCTGCCACCATGTGCCAATGGCGAGCCGTATGTGCAAGGGCCTCTCATCAGCTGCTGCAAGACTGGCGGATGCCCGCCTTGCTTGCTCCTTGGTCCTGCAAAACCTTCACGCACTTTTCGTGGCCATTGCCGGCGGCCTGCATGACAGCCGTGTAGCCTCAGAATTGAAACGGGGTGGTGATTGGGAACGACGTCGGAAGGTCCCTGACGCCTATGAGCGTACATTTGACAACCGCGAAGACGGTCTGAGAAGGGGAACAGACGACAAGCCTTGCACGCTCGTAGACCATAGACGAACTGCTGGAGCTGTTATCATTCCAGAAATCTGGCAGGCATCTTGATCACAACACGGAGCCTGCATCATGACATGGCTATTCACTCAACCACCAAGGCTCTCGCCGTGCTCATTTTTTGTCTCCTGGCGAGGTCAGAGACAGGATCACCCTTGGTCGTTCCGTTGAACGAACATGTAATGTACGATGTCCACCGTCAGCTCACATCACGATACATGACGGCAGGCCCTGACGCGTTCAGTGGCCTTTTCGGCGCCTGCGGCCAACAGTGTGCCCAGTGAGTCAGACTGGCCACATCGTGCAGCGAGCATCAGGGCGGTGTTGCCTGGGCACAGAACACTGAGCCCGCACCCGCGCCCACAGGAGCGCCTTGTTACCAAGTCCTTGGCCGAATCTGTCACCGGCCTCCTGGCTCGACATTACGTATGGCGCATCGGGTTCGCGCTGCACGTCGTTGCGGTCAGAAACGATGTGTCGTGTTCATCAGCCGAGTCAGCCCTCGTAGATTCAGTTGAGCTTCACGCTCGAAAGATTTGGTCACTGTCTCTCCTGTGAACCCGAAGGTGCTTTGCGCACACTTTTCAATTCTGCCTGGCAACACGAGCCTCCTTGCTTGCCTTGCTGGAAAGGTTAGGTGGCCTTCAATAGCCTCGGGCGCGTTGGGCCAGCATTTAGCATTCATTCCAAGCCAACTCGATCAACTCGAAGTTGCTGCCGACCAGGACATGCACAACATCAGCAGCTGGCGTGACAGCGAGAATGCTTCTATATGTGACCCCTCCTTGACATGCCACAAAGTCAGTTCGACAATATCTGCCTCGGCCGTGGCCGAACCAATCCTGCTTCCCTTCCTAGCAACTCCCTTGACCGGTCCCCAAGAGTGCACTGTCATGTTCTCCACCGCATTTCGCATTTCCGTGTTAGTTGGTTTCTGCCCGCCGCACACCACTCTGGGCCCATTTCTTTCCGCTTTCTGCATCTCCGGCCGTACTCCATTGGGCCGAGGCGGATGATGCGAAGCTGTTAGAATAATCATGCTTGATGATGCTTGCAGACTCTCTGTCGCTCTCTCTCTCTCTCTGCCTTGTCCGCCCCGGCAACCAAGAGGACGGCCAAACAGTCTGCTTGACCACTCCGTGCTGCATGCATCAGGGCGGTGTTGCCTTGCTGCCAGAAACAAACAGCGCCCAAATGCCGACGAGCCAATCTCTTGCCAAGGCCATGGCCGAAGCTGTCCGTGACATCCTAACCCGCAAGGGCCCAACATGCAACAGTGACCCACCCAGAGAGCTTCATGGCGAGTGTGCGATGGGATACTTGCAAATCATCGCCTTCTGAAGGTGCATGCTAGCAACCTTTCAAGTCTCTTTCGCAACATCGAAGTTGCCAACATGTCTTGCGCAGCTTGCACAAAGGAAACAATGCGAGCTCAACGGCCTGTGCAACGAAACAATGTACTACAAAGTCTTCGCGCAGTGCCAGCACTATCAGCAACATTACCTCCACCCTTCGGGAATATTTAGAGTCCACCAAGTGCGGTGGAGCAGTGTGATAAGAAAATTTCTTTAATAAGAAATCAGAGTCTCGAAGCTCGTCAGATCTAGAAATCCAGGGTCTCACACCGGCGTAAAAACTTATTTGTAAAAGACTTGCTCTTATGCAGGATTCTATGTCGGATTTCTGCTCCATGGCACGCTCCTTCAGGTTCGGAGCCTTGTCGGCGCCCCCATCCAGGAGCTCTTTGAGAGACGCCGTCTTACCCTCCCTGGCCGCGAGCATCAAAGCCGTGCTGCCTTGGGCTCGGAGGGGTCAGCTTCGACTCGAAACGCGGAATCAACTCTTGGCATGTGCCGATGCCCTCGGCAACCTTTGCCCAAATTAAGCAGATAGCAGCATATTTTCGGAATATGCTCTCCCCGACACGTTCTTGCTGCAGTGGGGTTGCACGGCCTCCCTTATCCCGGATCCCTGCAGGGCCCGGGCCATCGACGCATCTGGCTTCCTGGTTGCAGTGCGTTGCAGGGAGAGATGGTAAGGATGATCCGGTGAGAATTAGACCCTGGGCCATCTGCATCTGCCTTCTCCATGCCTTTGTCGAGGAGCTGCTTGACGTGGTTTGCGTTGCCATGCTTCACCGCCAACATCAGGAACGTCAAGCCTGAGGCTCAGAGAATGCAATTGGCAAACGACACCATGCAAGCATCCCGTGCACTCCAGCCGTGTCTAAAAGCATCTTTGCTAGCGAAAGCCGCTGATTTGCTCACCACATGTGCGTTTTGCATTGAACACAGCGGATTAGGCTTGCGTTCCATTGAGATTCGATACTTTTCAAGGGCCGTCACCTCCCCCCACCCCCCCCAGCTCCAGAATCCGGAAACGAGAGAACCGAGAGGCTTGGAGACCATTGCAGCTGAGGCCGCGACCAGCATCGCTCTTGTAGTCCTGCAGCAACGAGCGACATATTACATGTGGCCGTTGAAATGAGCATCTTCACTCACCCCCATCTCGACCTAGAGCCCTACCTCTGGGAATATAGTCTAGAGCAAGAGACGAGCTTCCCAAACACAGGCAACTGTGCCCAGGCCTTGTACCGCTCATGAAAGTCGACTAAGACCTCGAGAGATCCGGGCTTCTCTGCTGCAACTTCCAGGGCGACGTCCAATGCGCTCTTGCCGTTCTCCTTCAACCAGATGTCGGCCTGGTGGGGCTGGGATCCACAACCTAGATACGAAAAGGACGCCTAAACATGGCACCGCCAATTTCCTGAAACTTTCCCAGATGTCGGCCTTGTAGGTCAGCAGCTGCCTGGCCACAGCAGTGTGGCCCTGAGCCAGCGCTCGATGGAGCGCGTGCTTCCCGTCGTTCGTGGCGCTGTTGGGATTGGCCCACATGCGCAGATGTTCGACGACTTGCTGCACATTGTCGTCGTAGGCCCTGAACTGCCGATTGCAAGAACATCACTCAACGCATCTGCAACACAGTCACGGCGGAGCAACTACAAAGCAACTGAGCCGTAAACGCACTGACGAGCTCCGAGCTGTTCTTCAGGCGTTGTTCGACCTCCCGGCTGAACTGCTTCTTGGCGTCTCGCAGCTCCTGTGGCCATGGCTACAGATGCAGTACGGAGCAAGACTTCACTCCTCTTCCTGAGCGCTCTGCTCTTCAGCTGGTCCGGTCCAGAGATGTTGGTATCTTGACATGATGCCCGTCCTCCACGCCCAACCTCTGCGCCAACATGGAGACGCACCTGCACGAAGTGTTGCAGCTTGTCTTGGGGAAATAGAGCGCGCAGCGGGCTGCGTCTTGGACTGCAGCAGATAGATTATTCCTCGCTCTGGCTTTTGAGGGTCTGTGTCCTGTTGGGGGATCGTTTTGAACGCTTTGAGGCCAGCCTCGCCACGGCCTCGCTCTCGGGGTGCACGCGCTGGTGCAAGAGTCCTCGAGAGGTACATGGAATGGGACGGTCTAAATTTGGGCACATGATGGCTCATGCGTCGTCGCGCAAGGGTCTATCCCAATGTCTCCACAATCTCTTTGTAGGAACACCGAACGCACCCACACCGTGGCATTCCTGGACGTAAAGACGAAGTGACGTCGCTTGTCCAGATATCCAGGGCTCCATGATAACGGAATTAGAACTTAACGCAACGGCATGCCTAAACACCTTCTGGAGCCTGGCCGCCCCTGAATCGTCGTTAGTGCGTTTACGATTCCTTTATTAGACCCTGAAGAATCATTGCAGAGAAGTCTCCGAGCAAGAGGGGGGTCTGCCCGTCTGCATCCTTGACGTCTTGCTTCGCACCCGCCGAGATCAGGGCCCATGCTGCGCAAGCGTGCCCCTTGCCCATCGCCTGCGAAGAGCCAGGACAAAAGCCCGTCGAGGAGCCGTTTATGCAGCTCCTTCAGGAGTCCTGTGCTGCTGTTTGTCAAAGACAGGGCCTCGTGCAGGGCCGTGCACTCAGTAGTCTTTTCCTCAAGGTTTACATCCGCCCTGTGCTCAAGGAAGAGCTGCCTCAGCAAGAGGTGTGGAGCTGCAAAAAGGCTTCAGGCACGACTAAGCGAGCGCAATGATCCCCGCTGTTACTTGGTATGTAAATGTTATTGATAACGAAACACACAGACCTGCATGTATCCTGACGGAACCACTTGTTTGCAAACTTTGTGCCATTTGATCAATCGGCAAGAACCCCCCTTGTAGCAGACCACACCTAGCGACAACTCCAACAAGCCGGGATGCACTATGCTGGAGTTGCCCTGCGAAGCTGCTTGGTGGAGCAAAGGCTTCTTATTCTCCCGCAGCACAGCCTGTCCAGGATGCAGTCCAGTCTAGACGGCTTCACGCTGCAATTCAGCAGGCTCGTCTTCATCATCGAACCATCGAACTACATCTCCTGTAAAGGCTTGGAGAGAGTTCCTGGTTGGGATCACTCAATGAAAATAGGAGTCTTCGCAATGGCAACGGTGGTGCTGGTAGTCAGGGATATCAACAGCAACGAAAAGGCCAGGATTACAGCGCTTGCTCACTTAATGGTCGCAGAATTAGCAATACTTGTTGCACTGTGACAATCAGAACTGCCTCAGCGTCCTTTCCAGCCCAGAGGAGTGTTTTCCGACACTCCAGCTCGCTGTTGGCAGCTACATCTGCCATGAGCTGTCGTTTGATATCGAACACCGTGTGCCCAATCGACTCCTGGCACAGAAAGAACCAGGCAACGTCACCGCTAGCTTGGCAACAGCAGTCTGGGTGCATTGGCCTTAATGAAGAGCATGTACTTTGTTGTAAGTTGCAGCTCGCAGACCAACTTGCCTGGGCGAGATCCCATACGCTGCCGAAGTCAACACACCAAAGCCTGCGATGAACGATTGCTGAAGGCGGGAAGGATGCCTTGCACTCGAAGCGTGAGCTGGAGGTCGCGGAATCCGCCATCCAATGCTGTTTGGCACCTTCCCCACATCCCTGTAGAGACAAGCGCTGACAACACGCCCGGGGCTACTGGGCTCGTGGCCTGTCGTTGAATTCAACGATTTCAACATTTTTGTCCTCGTCAGCCGCAAAATGCGCCTTTACATGCCTTGTCCTGCCACTGCGCAGTCCCTCGACCACGCTGCAGCCGTGCGTCCTCATCGATCAGCTTCAGTCCTTCGTACATATCTTCCAAGTTCTCGTAGCTGAGCGTGTCTCGAACGATGTCAGTAAGTCTGTGCCTGGCTTCGATCAAAAAGAACCCAAATCCATCAACATGTAAATATGGTCGCGGTCCTCCTCTTCTTCTCACTAACCGTGACTTACCGATTGCAAAGAAGTTAGCACCGGGTGTCTGGGTGTGTTTTTGCAAATCTCCAGGGCACATTCACCCTGCAAGATTGTATACGATGCGCTGCACTGACAAAGCCCTGCGCCGCCGCGGGATAGCATCAAGCTACTTTTTGCGAAGCCAAGTTGCTTCTAACTAACCAGTGGTCTGCCCAAGGCTTTTTTCCTTCTCAACAGCAGCTGTCCTGTTTTCAAGGCCGGTTCTCCTGCCCTCAGTTTTCAGATATATATAATTGGGTGATGGCAAACAGACTTCAAACATCGCGACAGTGCAGGAGACGAACCTTGCATGCCCTGGAGACGCCACACTTGCGTGATTCCGTTGCCCTTCAAACCAAGGTATATACGCCGGCAGCGACTTGGCCCCGCTAAGTGCGGCTTCTCTCTCTGGATCCCCATCTGCACTCTCAGAATTCCGTCCAGCTCAGCCTGCAAGATTGACAGCCCGGCCGCGCTCAAAAGAGAGCAATAAGAATGAGAAGCATGGTTCGCCGTCAGTCCTAGAAGACATGAAGAGAACGGCGAACGGCAGGCGTCTGGGAGTGCTTCCCCCGCCTCTTATTCATTACCCACACACACATGACCAAGATAACACCGTGCTCTCAGAACAAGCCAGCAGCGCCATTCGATGTTGCCGGCCTCGTCCATGTACTCAGACTTTGCCTTTGACTCGCAGCCTCAGCTTCTTGCAGACGTTTTTGAAATCTAGGACTTGAGAACTTCGGATAAGCGGGAAACCGGCAAGAACAACA